CCAATTCTCAAACGGCTGTCGAGACAGGAAAAATAACTGTGTTTCTAGCATAAAGTGGAAAGTGGCTCTCTTTGAATCTCCACAGTAATAATAATTCCAAGCTACGAACCTGTATTATCACTCACGCTAGCTGCCCCCACCAAAAATTGATTCTTTTTGTGGCTGAAGAAGGCAAATCTTGTGAACATGGTGTTAATAAGATAAAGAGAGGACACCATGCTCAATATTTCAGTTTCCCCTTTCTGTAACCCTCTTGTTAGCTTCCCTCCCCCGACAATTTACCACCATAATATTAGCTAGGAAAGCTAGCAAAAGCTCCCCCACAACTACTTCCATGAAAAAAAATGTAATTTTGTACCTAAACTAGAGTAGTTCAAACATGATGTCTTCTTATAGAAACAGTAACCCCTTCAAGTGGTTAGGAAAACAACATGGTAGAATCAGCATCTGTAATTCCAAGCAAACTAAGAGCACAGTCTTATACATGTTTATTAAAACTTATTCACATTACTCCCGGTATGCTCAGAGAAACTTACGCCTACATAAACAGCCACCAGTTTGCAATCTAGGACACAATTCTATATATGCATTGGTCACACTGGCATAAAGTTCACTGAATTCACTGAGATGTATGTATTTCAGAGTAAACATACTTAAGATTCTGTGCACAGTTGCTATCCTATTTAATTTCCTGGTAGTATGTCCCATTAATGGGCCTTTACTCTAATGTGGCATGTTTAAGCCTGAGCTGTAGATCCCAATTCAGACTACAGTCCAATGCACACTAACCTGGAAGTAAACCCACCGAATGCAGTGAGTCTTTTAGCTGAGTAAACATCCAAAGGAGAGCAGTAAATTAAACCGGTTTAGTAAGGAATTGCCAACTTTTCCAAACAAAATTACAACTCGGTATCTATTTTCGTACAGCTGCCTATATCTCCAATGTGCCTATATGGATCTGATCCTGTAGAGGAATGGTTCCCAATGCTGAGTCCCCAGATGTTCTTGGACTAAATCTCCCAGAAGCCTTCACTACTAGCTGTGTTGGCCAGCATATCTGGGAGTTATAGTTCAAGAACATCTGGGGACTCAAGGTTGGGAAGCCCTGTTGTAAATGAATTACTTGTTACTGTAATTTGTTAGCCATCTGACTTTCTAAGTAGTGGTAGAGCTGTTGCATTCGGATGGTTCCCAATCCTGGGTCCCCAGATGTTTTTCAGCTAAACTTCCCAGAAGCCTTCACTACTGTGTTGGCCAGCATATTTGGGTGTTATAGTTCAAGAACATCCAGGAACTCAAGGTTGGGAAGCCCAAGTAATGAACTGCTTGTTAGTGTAATTTGTTAGCCATCTGACCTTCTAAGTAGTGGTAGAGATGTTGCATTCAGGTTTAGGACCAAATGCTGTCCATCCAAACTGTGTATATACTTACAATGACATTATATTATTATTATTATTATTTAGGACCAAATGCTGTCCATTCAACCTGTGAACCTGAGTCTTTGTAGAATATGACCTTATCTAACACAGTGCTAGTTCTTTGATCTGCTTTTTGATTGCCCAGAAGCACCTCTGTCTTGTTTGTATTACTTATATTTGCTTCCCCTCATCCAATCCATTACTGTATTTAGAAACTTCAGTTACAAGATTGCCCAGAAGCACCTCTGTCTTGTTTGAACTCATATTACTTATATTTGCTTCCTCTCATCCAATCCATTATTTAGAAACTTCAGTTACAGATTAAAAAAGCAAAAAGCAAAGTGTGGTGCTTCTATACAAATCAACAGTGCATAGCTGCAGTATTCCTCATTATCAACTAGGAGTCATGCCTGTTTAATTTAGGAATCTATTTAAAAAAGATGAGACTGTTGCACACTACCTCCAGGATCTACAGAAGGTGTAAAACATAAGGGGGAAAAGGTTTAGGCTATGAGGGAACAGCATACACATTAAATCTGTGAAACGGCTCCAAATCAAGATTTTAACACATTTTATCAGGGGTTTAGTTTGATGTTAAGAAGTATCTTACTTTAATCAAAGCATGGAGCTAGAAAATGGGATTTTTACAATACCTGACTCTTCATGTCTGGTGATACAGCAACATCTTATTTGCACAAAAGAAGATTTATTTTAGTGGACAGTGGAATAAAATACACTAATGCACAGAGTGTAAATTCTTTTTTGGAAGTCAGTAATTGGCATATAGATAAGATTGTCTATATACTGTAAATACTGTCACATGGACAAAATACTGTTTCTGTGATGGTTTTTCCTCTGCTGTCCATCAGATATTTAAGTCTTGCAACCCAGTGTTTTCCAAAAATGTCATACACAGAATACCTACAGTGCTGTACCAAAAGAAGGTGTGTCATCTTTTAATTTTATTTCATGTCATTCTTGACTTGAAAAGCCAAGATCTTCAACAAAACATTCAATGTAAAAAGGAACACTCAGGCAAACAAAGGAGGTAGTAATGATTCATAAAAAAATAGACTGAAATGCAAAAATGAAACCCATTGTAATTAACTAGAGAAAAGAATATGATACTTTACAGAAGGTTAAAATGTACCAAATAAAATAAAATATAGTAACCATGTTCTGTACAACATAAACTGTGCAAGAAAAAAGTACAGATAATTGTGAAATAAAATAAGCACAACTTTTGAGCTACTGATTTTTTTATTTGTTATAACCTACATGTTATTCTTACATAAATATACAAGAATGCACAATACGGGCAATGAGCCACTGTGTTCATGTCACAAAATAACATACAAATTTTTAAGCACTCACATACAATGTTATTTGTTGCTAATTTGAATTTACATTTACTGACCAGAAACCTATCACATATTTACAGCAGTCTTAATCCCACTGGTATTGATCTCGCTCATGAATTGCTGCCAGTTAAGAAGCCTGCACTTTTTCTGATTATGCACCAAGTCATGTGACTGCTGCGTAATGAGAAAGACCACTGCACCTTTTTACCTGGCAGCAATTCACCAGTGAAAGTCACATGAACAGTTATGCTGGTAGGCATACCTAAACAGTACATTTGTATACACCAAACTGTACATCCCATAAATGAAAATGCACATGATGAACACTTTGAAAGCAAAGGCAGCTATGGTGGCCAATAGAAAAATTTCTAATTTTTTTAAAATTGCATTTAATATACAGTATTTTCACCATATACTAATATGTTTTATGCATGGTCACCTGACCATAATAAATAAATTCACTCATTCATATTGTATTTTCATTAGGCCAACAGAAAGGTCATTAAAAAGTGGCCTAGTTTGTTCAGAGCAAAAACCTGTGTGTCTTCTATATATGCTTTAATTATAATGGGCTCCAAAGTACCAAACATTGATACTGTTCATTTGATACCATTCATACATGTTCATGTTAAGATTGAACAGTTTTCAGTTGACAGTGTATTACTGAAAGGCAGCGAAGTTGTGCATGCACACTTAAGCACCTTTACATGTTTTATTATTGATACTGATGGGTAAAAACTAGGAAAAAGCACTCATTTTGTCGTACAGTATCTCAAAATTTGATTGAAGAACAATTCTTACAAAACAACACAAAACAATTTTCTCATACAACTGGTTATACTGCAGCAATACCTGGGGTAGAATCTATGTGTTTGCAAAAATAAACTTGTCCACCTTTTCTCAAAGTGCTGTTAAAAGCACAACTACAATTCAAATTAATGAGATGTGCAATAACACAGAGGTGTATAACATAAAATCAAAGAATTTGAAAATTTCTTTCTGTGCTCTTTTTTTTAATCACATGATAAAGGTATGCTTTAACTGGAAGTCTGTATATTATTCTTTACATTCATGGGAATGAGAATCAATCATTTAATGTGATCTTTGTTATGCAAGAGATCAACACGACTTCACACAGGACCATTAGAATAATACTCATTGAAAACACAGTGGCCAGAATCCTGTTGGTATTTGCATAAAGTCTGTGTAACTTGCAAACAAATTACAACTAATCGAAAAGGTGGAGGATACTTCCCACTGTGTTGGTCATACGCCTGACCACACAACTGAGATGTTCTCTGGTATCTCGGCGATTAGCCCTGTTAAGTTACACAAACTTTATGTGGATTCTGGTGAATAAACAGTGGTAGAGAACATTTAGCTCAAGAGATACACATAATAAGTACACAAATTGCTCAACTACATTCATACATCATTTGATTTTGCTTCCACTCTTTTATCAAGTTGCTCTTGTTACAGTCTGAGCAGTAAAATTTTGAGCCAGCACTGCAGAACAGCAACTCAGAAAAGTTACTCAGCAACATACTCATATCATTTACCATTCCTTGAAACAACACATGTACGATTTCATTTGATACATAAATTGAACAACAGCTTACACAATACACACAAATTATTAAGCAGCCACAATACATTTGTCAATAAAATGTGTATGTCACTTTTAAACTTTAAAATATCAAAAAACCCACTAAATAACAAAATGCAAAATCAAAATGACAACCTCAAAGCTTACTACTATATATTCAAAGTGCACATTATTTATACTATTGTACAATATTTTTATAATCCTATAAAATTTGTAAGTAACATCCAGTAATGAAATATTAAAACAGTTGGGTTGTTTTTTGTGTGTGTGTGTTATGCTTTTCTTTAATATTTCAACAAAAATAATGTGATGGATTAACACAATCTGAGTTTTTACAAACACACATATTAAAATGCAATCAGTGTCATTTCCAGGTTTTTACAGTTTTTAACAGTCTTTAAACAAAACAGACAAAATTCAGACAACTAAGAGCACGTCCATAACCGATTACAAACTTAGAAATCCGATGCTTTTTTTTTTTACATAATACAAAGGCCTCTAACAATGCATCAAAATGCATAGTAGACTGACCACTCTTCATATAATCATTCTTTTCCCCTCAATTACATTATGGTCCTAAATTCATCCATTATTAACCTTAAAGCTCTAGTGTACCTTCATCAATGGGTTCATATTTATTAATGAGTGAAACAGCCCTTCGTTCATCAGCACCAAGCTCAAACTGTTCCTTCTTCAGAAAATCAGCTAGATTTGCTGCTGTAAGCACTTTCTTGTTCGGCGAGTAGCTGTTGAAAAGTTCGCTAAGTTCAGGCCTGTGCAGGAGTGTCCGATAAATTGCCCTAAAATCTTCCATGGTAAGAAGTCCGGACTTCTGTTTGTCATTTTTCTAAATAAAAACAAACCATTCTGGATTTAGTTTAAATAAAGGCATATTAATATGAACATGGATAAACGAAAACTTCAACACAGCTTCTGAGATACTTGATTTCATTATTTAAAAGTCACAAGCCCTCAAGATTGTGAAGATTAAACTTACAATGGGAGAAATCTGCTTTGTCAACAACACTACAGTGGAAAGGAAGTGGAACAGTGGAGACAAAAGTTGTGTCTCAGATATTTGCCTGGAACCTTGTCTTTAAAATTCATAGACAGACAGACAGACAGACAGACAGACAGACAGACAGACAGATAGATAGATAGATAGATAGATAGATAGATAGATAGATAGATAGATAGATACAGAGACAGAGACAGAGACAGAGACAGAGACAGAGACAGAGAATATCATAACCCAAAATTAAGAAACCCAAGTGAGGCTTAGCAAGTGGAGGGGAAAGCAAGGATCAAAGCCCTGCAAGATCACTTTGATCCCTGCTTCCCCCTCCACTTATTTTTGTTCTTTCCTCAGCTTACTTCCGTGTCTAAGACCCGCAATTTTTAGTCTAAAGATTTTAGACAAACGTATAGTCTTATACATGGAAAGTTATATTAAAAGAAGATCTAAGAGGGCAAGGCACCAGACTGACACAAAGTAATTAACAGTAGGCTCGTTTCTTAGGTGTGGCCAGGGACCAGTCTTAGGAGAACGTCAGTCCAGCCCTGGACCATGCCTGCCTTCTGTGCTCGTGTTCAACTTTTCAAGACCATTCATAGGAATTACGGGACTTGCAACAGCTATTGGTGGCCCTCCCCTTTCCAAGGTCCATTTATGTATATACCAAAGTGGGACTTCAATGCAAAAATGACTGCATGCACTGACTGCATGTGTAAGCATGCTGGCATCCAGGTTTTCCTTCCTCTGGGATCAAGCAAAAGGATAATAAATAAATAATAATCACGTTCCATGAAGCCAATTCTGACTTATGGCAACCCTTTCCAGGGTTTGGCAGGTAATGAACCCTCAAAGGTAGTTTAACATTCTCTTCTTCTGGGGCTGTGCAGCTTGCCCATCCCTGTTAGGTTAGGTTGTGGAAAAAACAGACCCCAGGTCCTGTCACATCTGCCACTTAATTAAATCTCTCCTCCAGCTCGCCAACTTCCTGCCCTGCACAGTCATAAACAGAAATCTATCTGAGTAGGAAAGCAGCCATAAATCAGAGGGGAAGTGGATCTACGTGTTTAATGAGCTTCCGAACATTTCCGTTCCCAAGACCATTAAGGCTTTGGCATGGGATAGCACTACCCTGGCTTTTAAGCTATTCCCGTTAGTAAAAGAGTTAGCCAGTGTGACAAAAGTTATCAACCCATCCCAGCCTATCAGGAATTGGCTCCTAAAAAGAAAACACCACCTAAGGGCACTAGCCATATCGATGAAATATAAGCACCCCATAGTTTAACTGTAGTGAAGTAATTTGGCTGAGCAGCAAACCTCCACTCAAAAAGAAATGAAAACTTTAATCTAGAAAACCTATCTACTTGACTTGCCCACTTGATTTGCCCACCAATTCTACTCCAGAAGTGGAAGGATCTACTCTCACCTTAAACAGTTTTTTAACATGAACGTAGTCATAAGAGACTTCAAACTTGTTGAACAATTTCAAGGTCTTATCTATGTTGATCTTGCCATCCCTAAATTCATCAAAGATCATGTCCATGAACCATGTAAAAGAAAGCTCATTAAGGAAATTTTCAAGCACCAATGGTAGTAAAACTTTAATCTAGAAAACCTATCTACTTTACTTGCCCACCAATTCTACTCCAGAAGTGGAAGGATCTACTCTCACCTTAAACAGTTTTTTCACATGAACGTAGTCATAAGAGACTTCAAACTCGTTGAACAATTTCAAGGTCTTATCTGTGATGAGCTTGCGATCGCTAAATTCAGCAAAGATCATGTCCATGAACCATGGAAAAGAAAGCTCATTAAGGAAATTTTCAAGCACCAATGGTAGTCTCATAGAATAATTGAGCTGGAAGGGGCCTATAAGGCTGTCAAGTCCAACCCACTACTCAATGCAGGAATCCGAGTCAAGGCAGGGGAATCTGTGAAGGGGATCTGGGCCAGGTATATATCTAATTTATTATGAATCCAGGTGTTTTATTGGTTTGGTTTACATTTACATCCCATCTTTCCTCCAATGAGCTCATGGACACAGCTTTCTTCCCCACTTCACCTTCACTATCACTCTGTAAAGCTGCTCAGGCTGAAAGTACGACTGGCCAAAGTTGTCATGAAAGGCATTGTAGCACAATGGTTAAGAACTACAGTACGGCAGTCAAGCATCTGAGTTCGATCCTGATGGATTCAGGCAGCCAGCTCAAGGTTGGCTCAGCCTTCCATCTTTCTAAGTCATTAAAATGAGTAGCCAGATCACTGGGGAGCAAAGTATGCCTTGCAGACCACCCAGAGAATGCTTGACCAGAATGGGGCCGAGTATCAGTTCATACAACACTGCTGTGTATTTTTTAATGAAATCTCCTAAATTCTTACTGAACACTGTAATACTTAGAATTAATTAACAAACGAGAAACTTTGTAAAAATGGAAGTGAACAGCTCTGCTATCATTTTCTCTATATTGCGGAATCTCTCTGGAGAAGTATCCTTTACTGGAAAACAGGAGTTGAGGGAATGGATAGGGTCATGTCTTCCTCCTTTGATATCAATACATATTTGCCATGAGAACCAGTGCACTGTTGTATTTAGACTCTAAATGTTAAGAGTGATGGACTAGGTCTGGGAAGACCTGGGTTAACAATTAACAGGCTGACTTTTCTCCTTCTGACCTACCTCGCAGGGTTACTGTGAGGAACAGAGTGGGGAGGAGAAATACCAGGTACAGGGGCTTCAGCTTTTTGGAGAAAAGGCAGAATATCAATGAAACAAACGAGTAAATATAAATATAAATAAATATAGGTTGCCTGCCCATGGCATTTCCACCTTGCATTTCGAATGACAATGGACAGAGAAGGATGCTGTGCTGCTTCCCTTCTCCCTGGGATGAGCAAATTTTCTGCACCAAGGATGCAGAGAAAAACCCTCTTACTGGGGAAAGGAGGGTCCCATTCCTCACGTTTTTCACCTGTGCCGATGAATGGCGTGGGGAGGGAGGCGGCTGAAGAAAACCTGCCTTTCCTACCAGGGTTGCTATGGAAAACTTTTTTTTTTTTACGCTGCCGCCTTCTCCTTTTTCAAGAGTGCAACTCGCTCCTGGTGCATTTTTAAAGCATTTCAAGGGACGTCAGTTGGGAAGTAAGAGGATGATGACTCCCCTTATACACAGCCCAGCACGTGCTGGCTGGGTTTCTTTGGGTCGTTCCCTAGGAATAGTAATAATAATTCTTATTTTATTATTATTATCCCCGAGAAAGGCTTCCCACCGTTCCCTCTACGAAGGCTTCGCTTCCCTTCTTCTGAGTGCGTGGGGCGGGATGGGGGGGGCAGCGATGGGGAGGGGGTTTCCCCTCTCGTCCTGCCCTTCCCCCCCCCATCATCCTGTTAAATAAGGATATTTGTTTTCCATGTTGCCGTTCCTCCTGCCTCCTCCGCCTGTTCCTTACTGCGATGTTCTCGGCAGCTCCCAGCGCGGAATGGCCT